GCAACTCCCGCGGGACCAGCGAGATGCCATCCTCCTCGTCCTACGGTCGTACGCCATCATCTTCGCGTGGGGCCCGGACGACATGCCAGGCATCAGCCAGAAGGTGATCACCCACTGACTCACCATGCTCCTCTCAATCAACCACATCAAGGAGGTGAAGTACCCGACGTGGCTAGCCAACGTCGTCCTCGCCCAAAAACTGCCGACATTCAGAATGTGTATTGATTACACTGACCTGAACAAGGCGTGCCCCATGGACCCGTTCCCTCTCCCCAACATTGATCAATTCGTTGACGAGACGGCGGGATGCGAGTTGATGTCGTTCCTTGGCGCCTTCAGAGGGTACCACCAGATTTTCATGCATGAAGATGACGCTGAGAAGACGACCTTTATGACCCCGGAGGGAATTTTTTGCTACCTCGTCATGGCTTTCGGACTCAAAAACTCAGGCGCCACCTACACCAGAATGGTGGCTAAGATCTTCAGGACGGTCCTCGACCGGACGATGGAGGCATACGTAGATGACATGATTGTCAAAAGCAAGCGGGCCACCACACATGCTGACGACCTCCGGGAAATTTGTGAAATCATGAAGGAGTTCAAACTCCGCCTCAACCCCAAGAAGTGCGCCTTTGGCGTCCGAGGCGGCAAGTTCCTCGGCTACATGGTCAGCCGGAGAGGCATTGAAATAAACTCGGAGAAAATACAGGCCATCGTCAATATGGAGCCGCCCCGCAATGTCAAGGAGGTACAGCGGCTGACGGGGCGCCTGGCGGGCCTGAGTCGCTTTCTCTCCAAGTCAGCCGAGAGGTCACTCCCTTTCTTCCAGATCATGCGCAAAGCAAACAACTTCAAATGGACGACGGAGTGACAGGAAGCATTTGAAGAGCTAAAGAGGTACCTTTCGTCCCCACCGGTGCTCTCCAAGCCCAAAGCCGACGAAAACCTCTTCTTATACCTAGGGGTGAGTACGTCGGCCATCAACTCCGTGCTCATCCGCGAGGACGAAGGGGTGCAGAAGGCCATATTCTACATCAGCAAAACGCTCAGGGAGGCCGAGCCCAGGTACTCCCCCATTGAGAAGACGGTGCTAGCCATCGTCCATACGGTGAAAAAGCTGGGGCACTACTTCCAGGCCAACGCCATCCACGTACTGACCCAGCAGCCCCTTGGCGCGCTCATGAGGAGCCCCACTAGCTCCTCAAGGATGGTGAAATGGGCAATTTTCCTTAGCCAATACCAAATTGAGTTCAAGCCAAGGCCATCTATAAAAGGGCAAGCCTTGACCGACTTTGTCACCGAATGCACAGCGAGGGTGACGACCGCTACTACCCCCGGGCCAGAGCCAGATGACATATGGATCCTATTCACCGACGGCTCGTCAGCCGCGAAATCATGTGGGGGTAGCGTCGTCCTCATCTCCCCTGAACGATTCAGAGCTTAGTATGCCATCCGTTTCAACTTCAGGGTGTCCAACAATGAAGTCGAGTATGAGGCCCTCCTCAGCGGCCTAAGACTCGCCGCCGGCCTCAAAGCCAAGCACATCAGAATCAGGTGCGACTCCAAGTTGGTGGTAGGCCAGATTGAGGGCACGTACGAAGCAAAGGAAGGCCGGATGAAGCAGTACAAACGGGCGGAAGAGGAGTTGCTGGAAGCATTCGAAACCCATGAGATCACACAGATCCCAAGGGCCGAGAACGCCGAGGCCGACATCCTCTCCAAGCTCAGCTCGGATACTCCAGAGCACATATCCAAGTTAGCCAAGATCGAGGAGCTGAGCATGTCCAACATCCATGTCAGCCCCATCTTGTGCATCCAACAGCGGCCGGAGGACTGGATCTCCGACATCACCTCCTTCATCACCACGGGGGAGCTACCCCAGGACGAGGAGAGGGCCAAGCTTGCCAAGCTCAGGGCTCCAAGCTACACTATTGAAGATGGCAAGCTCTACAAGCGATCCTACAATGGCACTCTCCTCTGATGCCTGCACCAGGATGAGGCCGAAGTGGCCATGGAGGAAGTTCACTGCGGTGTTTGCTCCTCACACCAGGGCCCTTTCAGTATGTCCAGGCGTCACGTCGTCCAGGGCTATTTCTGGCCGACGATGGCGCGGGATTGTGCAGATCTTGCCAGGAAATGTACCACATGTCAGGTGCTCCAGAAGGCCCCTAGTCGGCCAGCCGTCAACTACGCCCCCGTCAGCACTGCCATTCCATTTTCAAGGTGGGGGATTGACCTAGTCGGCCCACTACCCAGAGCTGCTGGCAACAACCGCTACATCATCGTCGCAGTCGACTACTTCACCAAGTGGGTCGAAGCAGAACCTTTGGCCAGCATCACAGGGGCGAGATGTCAGAAGTTCGTCCATAAGAATGTCATTACCCGCTTCGGCGTCCCCCAAGAGATCATATCCGACAATGGCACCCAGTTCGAAGTGGCACCCTTCCAGGAGCTCCTTCGAGAATGGGGAATAAAGCACCGTTTCTCCTCCGTCGCCTATCCTCAGGGCAACGGGCAGGTTGAGAACGCCAACAGAACTATAGTGGAGGGGCTGAAGAAGAAGCTCCAGAACACAGGAGGAAGTTGGGTCGACGAGCTCCCCAACATCCTGTGGTGCTATCGTACCACGCCAAGAAGGGCAACAGGTGAGACGCCTTTTGCCCTGTGCTATGGCTTTGAAGCAAAGGCACCCACGGAAGTCGTCATTCCCAGCCGACGGGTGGAGCAGTATGACCCTGAGGTCAACGGGAGAACATGAAGATCGACCTCCACCTGGTCGAAGAGAGACGCGAACAAGCATTCATCCAGGCGGAGAACTACCGGCGTCAAGTGAAATCATACTATGACGCCAAAGTACGTTCCCGGGAGTTCCAAGTGGGGGACTACGTCCTCCGCCGAAGGGAAGCGAGTCAGCCGACGGAAGGGGGCAAGCTAGCCTTGAAATATGAAGGTCCCTACATCGTCAGTGCCGTGGTAAAACCCGGCACCTACAAGCTTATACGCCCAAATGGGACCAATGTACCACGAACGTGGAATGTACACCATCTGGTGAAGTTTTATCAATAATCCGAAGGAGGTGCAGCCGGTGAAGCCCTCACCCCTTGACGGATTATTGATTGAACACCACCCTCGGTCTTGAGCCACTTATGAATAAAAGTCATGTTCCTCTTGATTTTTTGGAATTCAAAGTAAAATATTAACCGGTGCCCTCATCGGCCACCTTAGAGCGAAAGGCTCAGGTATGGCCGATACGGCGCCTTGCATCTGCAGCCTTGGAGTGAAAGGCTCAGGTATGTCCCATTGTATTTTGTATCAGCGAAAGGTTTAGGCCCAGCTGAGAGAGCACGTTGTATCGGCCCCTTAGAGCGAAACGCTCAGGCAGGGCCGACGATGTCCCCAGGACGACGGGCCCGCAAACGGCCCACGTCTTGAAATGGGAAGTTCACCGCATCGTCCCCGCGCCTGATCGCAGGACGACAGGCCTGAAATCATGGCCGAGGTGACAAAATCCCCAAACTCAGGGTCGGGCAACGACAGCCGTTGGAAACCAACCAAAAGTCTAGCCCGTGTCATAAATAGGCGACGGGACCCCCCTGAGATCATGGACGTTATAAACGAAGTCCAAACCGGCCGGAGGACTATCGACCCCTTCGGCCGAAGCCTGAAAGAAGGACACTCCCCGAAATAGGGAGCAAAAAAAAAGAGGGAAGCCGAGGACCGCGCGCACTTGTCGACCTCGAGCGGTAAAAATAAATCCCCACGAATCAAGCCACATTTGGCTAAGTACATATCAGTTGAACGCAAAGGCAACACTACCAACAGGTAACACGGATGAAGCGGCCACCCGCTACGAGGAAGGTGTCAAGGACGGAGCATGCGCCTATAAAATCCTAACCAACTGGTTGGGTGAAACGAGGGTGGTTACCCTCATCGGCCATGACCGATCGAAGTTCCAACACTTAGCATGCAAACCAAGAATCCCAGCTTGACACTGGGCACAATCCGGGAGTTGACCACCAGAAGGGGTCAGGACGAAGCGGGCACTCAAACACTCGCGGGAAAGTTGAACACACTGGCGGCAACCCTTACCGACCACACCATTCTCGCTGGCCGTTAAAGGTGCTAAAACCTAGGCGGCTGTTTAAAGTTGAACAATTAGAAAAATTTCAAACACAAAAGGGGAGAGACATCCCCAAGACGAAGCGGACAACAGAGAGGAAAGTTGCCTAAGTGAATTTCAAACACTTAGAAAATTTTTGAAGAAAGAAAATGCGAAAGAAAAGGCAAACACCCGGGTGCGCAACACACGGGTACCTTCATCGGCCACACCGCCCAAATTGGCCGACAACGGTACCAAGCAGAGAAAACTACATAGCCCAACACTTAGAGAAATCTCCAAAGCATCGAATAACGAGGGGACAACCTCGAGACGAAGCGGGCACTCAAACACTTGCAGGTGCCCGCCTCGGCCCCAACCACGGGCGGTAGTTATCTATGTTCTGGTTTGACACTTGGACAAATTTCAAAATTGAAATAAAGAAGGCAATAAGCATAAACATTTAAAGCCGAAGGGGACAAAAGCACAATTCATTCAGTCAAAAGGCTAAGTTAGAAAAATCCCTGAGTAGCGTCCAGAGCGGCCGATGAAGACAAGTACAACTACAACTACAGAGAACAAGATTGAGGTTTCTTGGTTCGACACAACTACAACTAAAGAGGGATGAGGAATGGCCGTAGTGGCCGTATCGGCCAAGCTTCGAAGGGCCCCAAATTATAGCTACTTGACACTTAGAAAATTTTCTAAATATTTTCTAAGTATTTTGGCTCACGAAGTCCACGTCAACAGAGGATAAGGGGGGGATGACACCGAGACGAAGCGAGCACTCACAACCAGAAGGCAATCGAGGATGACGATGACCCAACTCCCAACACAATTGGACATCTTGTAAACAAAAAAAAACAAGACGATATAGTAAAGCGTGAAAGTCGAAAAGAGGCATATTTTCATTCACAACGAAAAAGGGGTACAAGGGGGGCTTCATGGCCGTTACAGCGTAAACAATCAAAGAAACAATAGTGATGGATCATGACTCCCGCAGGGCTTCTGAGTTCCCTTCAACATCGGCTTTCTCTTCGGCTTGAGCAGTGGCCCCATCGGCAGCAGCACCAGACGTAGAGGTGTCTTCGAACATGCTTGGCTCATAGGTCCAATCGTCACTAGCCTGAGAGCTCTCGATGGGGAGTTGCCTTTCCACCACAGGGAGCTCCAGTTCAGCTTCAGGATGCCTCATCATCGAAGGCAGCTCAAGGCCGACGGCCCACTCCTTGGCAACACCCAGATCTAGGAATCGACGTTGGAGCCTCCGATTGAGCAGCCGCTGCATCCTGTACTGGCCAAGGTCGTAGAAGACCTTCATCTCCTTCTCCCAGTACGCCTGGCCGTCAGGGCACTTATTGACCCAGTCAACGAGCTTCGCCGCCACGACGTCGAAGCACCAGGGAAGCCGGTCCTCGCCTTTCCAGCCGACCTCGAGAAATTTTTGCACAGCGGCCTCGACGGCCCACTCTTCGGCAACACTCAGGGCCGACTCTGCATCGGCCTTACCCTTCTCGGCCTCCTCGGCACGACGAAGGGCTTCATCACGAGCCCGCTCCACATCAGCCAAGCGCTGAAGGGCCTCATCCTTCTCAGCGGCTAGCAGATCAGCCTCATCCGCCTTTTTCTTCAGGCCCTCCACCTCGAGCCGCAGCCTCTCCAAGCTGCCCAGAGCCTCATCGGCCGAAGCCACCTTCTCCTCGATTTGCTTCAATCGAGCAATCTCCCTTTGTTGCCTTCTGTTGTTTTCCATCAACATAAAGGCACCCTGGGGGAAAACAAGGGTTAGACGACGCTGACGCATAACAAAGAAAAAGAGGAAGAAGACGAAGCAGACAGAAAAACCTACTTGGACGATTTTGACATTGCCGAGCTTCTTCAGGTAAGCCCGGTCCTCGTCGGGGATGGCCTGGGAGATCACCTCGTGGCCATCAACAATCTCGTTGTATAGCCCACCCTTAACGGGGTATTCAACCTCGAGCTTATAGGTCCCTCTGACCAGCTCTCGGCCGGACCCTTTCTTCCGCTAGTGGGGAAAATAGCTTTTTTCCAATTTTCCAATAGTATATTTTTTGAGAAAATTTGGACCTAAATTAAAACATTATTATAACAATTGCAAAGAGTGATTTGTAATAATAGGTGGCCAGGTTGGTATTCTGCTACTATTTTTAATCTGATTGAAGGTGGTAGAGTTGGCATTTTTTGGAATAATTCTTTTGCTCATTGTGATGTGATTGATGTTAATAAACAATACATCCATTACGGAAAGATTGGGTGGCAATCAACCTTCAGCCTATTGCTATATGGGATTAAGGGAGAACTCTGAGCAAAGAATGATGGAGTCCTCTGTAACCGAGTATGAGTATGACAGGACAAATTCTCATCCTGCAATGCAGATTTTCTGGATTTTGATTTTTGAACCACGAGATGAATTGTGATGAATACAAGGGAAGGTTGAATATCATACACTCCTTGTGCAGTGTGTTTTTCTTTTATGAACAAAAAAAGTTGAGTAATAATGATTGGTTATCATTACTATGAGCCAAAATAAGATACTGTAAATTAGAAATGCCCGGCCATGTGTACGGTAACATGCATGGGGCGCACAATTGAATTGAATTCCCGAAGAGAATCCAATCATGAGTCCTTACTTCTTTTTTGCTTTGCTGCTTTTCACAGTTCTTTACCACTACCCGAGAAAATGGTGGGTTGGTTGTGGTGATGATATTTCATATGTCTGTAGTCTTACACCCGAAAATGGTGGGTGGGTTGTGGACTAATTTGTATCAAGATCACACCTGAAAGGATTATAATAGGGGAAAATAATATATATATATATATATATATCTCAAGCTTGCATATGTAATATTTCTACTTTAAACCTCATATAAAAAGTTATTTTCACATCATAATTATATGTTTTTACAAATACAAATTTAATGCAAGAAGTACATAATTTGAAATAATCTAAGCTTTATTTGGATGCAATTAACATTCTAATATTTCATTTGTGAAATAAAAACTCGTAATATTAATCCGATACATTCTAATTTTAATTGCATCCTCATAAGTGTTTTGTGTATTTTAAATTATGTACTTAACACCATAAAATTACATTTGTGAAAAATCATATGGTCATCATGTTACATTACTTTTTATATAAAGACTGAGGTATATATATACTATATTACATGTGCAAGTTTGAGATACTTATATCTAGTGGTGGACTCGGGTTGGGCCGGGTCAGGCTCGGTACCTGCTCGGTTTATACCAGTACCGGTTCCGGTCCGGCTACCTGGCTGGGCCTCAGGATGGGCTTGGGTCGGATCGAGCATTTTTTTTAAATTTTCTTAATTAATTTTTTTAAATTAATTCAAAAAGTGATAAACAATAAAAATTAAATTTAGGTTTATTTGAGAATAAATGAAGTACAATTGAGAATTGAGAATAATTTAAAACATTAAATACATTTGCTAAAAATAAGTCGAAATCTTCGTCATCGTCGGTTGTTGTTTCCTTCATAAACTTGAGGCAGGGGGCGATGTAAATTTCTCGAGTTCTACGTCGGGCCTTCAACCAATTCACTTGTGGAAGCAAATGAGCATTCCAAGAGATTTTGCGTTCAATCTTGTTCTATAATCAGTTAGGATGTTGCCCGCTGCGCTAAATTCTTGTTCCACGGCTACTATTAACATCGACATTGAAAGCCCTTGCTTCGCCATCTTCGATAAAATCGGGAACATTCCTTCTTTATCCTTCCACCATAGTCATCTCATTCTTCATACTCAACAAGAAACGTTAGATATAAAGAAATCTCGTTAATCGAGCTTTGTGCAACAGCGGGAGTTGATTTACTTTAGATGAAGAAGCAGTTGGTTTCGGGGGAAGGGACGGGTTACCATAATGTGCATAAAACTCACTAAATAATGGGTTTTTTCCTCGAATATTACTAACTTGAAGCTACTTTCCAAAAATATGACCATTTTTATAAAAGGCCAAAAATGTGACTAAGGTCACATATTTAGAAAATTATGATGCCACTGTCATTTTTATGTCACTATTGGATTTTTATGTCACTATTATATGTCACTATTATATTTTTATGTCACTTTTACAATGTCAATAACGGTTTTCGTGTCACTTTTAGTAATCACTGTAACGGAAAACGTGTCACTGTGTTGACGGAAAATTTTTCGACGACTTTCCCCATCAAAATTCTCACCAGAAACCATCACCCTGCCGCTTCAAAACCGCCACAATCGCCCAACACACTCCCCTGCCTCCCAACGCCCTCTCTTGCCCCTTTCTACACACCCCCAGCACTCTGATCCTCTCCTTGCACCCCCAGCCCCCTCATAGCTTCACAATCCCCTCCACCGCCAATCCCGTCACATAGCACCCCGCCACAATTGACCTACCCCGACACCGCCCAGCCACCACAGTCATCACCCCTACGCCTACCCCAACACCATTCTGGTGACCAGCAACCTCTTGACAGACTCCACCAGCCACCACTAGACCCCAGCCATGACCCACCCAAGCTGCCACCATCTCTAACCTACCTAGGCCAAACCCTAGCTGCCACACATCCTTCTAGATCTGGATCAGCCCAACCGCCATGTGAGCTTCAAGATCCAGATCCCAAAACGAGGACAGAAAGGGATGAAAAAAGAAAGTGAGCGACGAAGCTGCGATGACGGTGCAGGGCAGAGATGTTGACCTGCAGTGGCGGTGTGGGACGAAATTTTGGACCTGGTAGTGATGACAGCGGAATTGCCACCGCCGCGACCCTGGCAGCCGGCGGACGCGACGCGGAAGCAGGTGGAGGAGGCAACGCAGTGGCAGTTGGTGGAGATAGGAGGCGGAGCGGCCGTCGTTGCTAGCTGCGGAGGCGAGATGAAACTGTGCTGTGAGGTAGGAAGATGAAAAACGACTCTTCGTTCATGAGACGGAGGTGTGCCGTGAGGTAGGGATATGGAGGGATTTGGACAGAGTATGCGTAGATCTGCGGCTCTTCTTTCTCACGTGAAAGGGGCGGTCACTTTTTTGGAAAATCACAAACCACTCATATTTTTGTCTACAATAACTCTGAGAGTAATATCTATGCCATTATTTCTTAAATAATTGATGAAACAAGTTACTAACCTCATTGTATTGCTCTTTAGGATCTATGGCCTTATGGGCTCTTATCTTCGTACATAGGTAATGGACCAAAAAACAATCATAATAGTACTCTAAACAATTTTGATAAGCAGTAAGTTTGAAACAAGGATCAAGAACAAAGACAATACTATATATATGCGGAATATATGTAAAATATTTCAAAAACTTTTCTTTCATGTAATCACATAAATAATGAACGTAAGGGACATTTTGAAATTCAGAAATGCACCGGCGAGATTAACAGTTTCAACAAAAAATAGGTTTGAGGCAGGTTTATAAACATGACTAAAAGTTTGAGTTGCGTTATTAAAATATACCAAATCATTGACAATTTTTTCCAAAGTGTCGATCTCAACCGGTTCTATAATATAGTAATTGGCATATTCTTTTAAAAAAAGTAGAAAAATGGGTTTTAAATCTAATAGGTACAACAATTAAGTTATAAGTACTATTCTAATGAACAGACAAATCTTTAAGAAAAACACAATATCTAACAAGTATAGCTTTAAAAAATTCATGTCATTGCTTTTTAAGTTGACTATTACCCCAAATAAGTCTAATGGGGTTAAACCGTCTTTTACGATCTCCATCACATTTCCTAATGGGGTTAAACCGTCTTTTACACACAAATTCAAAATATGACATGCACAACGCTGATAAAAAAACCTACCCATTGCAGTAAAAGGACCACACAATTCACGCAATCTAGGAACAACAACAATATTATTACTAGCATTATCAAAACCAACATCAAATATCTTATTAATCAAATTATATTCAGTTAAAATACGCTCAATGAGAATATAAATATTATCCCCAGTGTCTCGGTCATTAAATTCACGAAAAGCGATAACACGTTTATGCATTTCCCAATCATCATCAATTAAATTCACGAAGACCGGTCCTCCATTGAGCATCTCTTTGGCTTGTGCTATTTTGCCCTAGACGTACGGCGAGGTGCTAAATAAAACATAGAAATCCTGACCTGTACTTGATGCCGTCCTACTCCTCGCTCAAATGTTGTCCTGTGCGCGTGAGAGATGCTAAAGTTTGCCCTTTTTTATATTTTTACATTTCGGTTTTTGCGTCCACATCATCGACGCTAATAATTTAAAAAAAAATCGGACTACTTTTAGCGTCAACAATTTCACGCAAATTCGAAAACATTGAATTCTTTTCCGGATCAATGCTCAATGTTATTCGCATCGACTTGTCGATGCAAATTGTACGTTATTTGCATCCATTAACGTCGACGCTAAAAGATTCGACGCAAATAATACTATTTCTTGTAGTGTTTTTTAGATAACTGAAAAGAAAAAATGGCAAAATATTAGGAACAGAGGAAATATATAACAAACAAACACGTACTAAGTATGAGGTCTATCTTTTATGAAACTCCACTAAAGCTAGACTAAGTGCATGTTTGGCGGGCACAAGTTTCTGCCTTTTAGCTTTTGTACTATTTAAAAGTCCTTTAAGGCTTATAGTTACTCCCTCCGTCCCGCTAGAAGGTTCCCACTTTCCCTATTTGGATGTCCCGCTAGAAGGTTCCCATTCCATTTTAAGAAACTATTCAGCCTCTTTAATTACACCTCTATTCATCACTTAATAAAGTAAAACAACCCAACGACCTTAATGACTCTATCTGCCATGTCCCCATCTATCCTTCCACCTACCCTTTCCAACCACCGAATTAATTTTCTGCCATCTTCTTCATCCGCCATTCCTTCATACGCCATTTCTTCGTCTCCTCCCAACCCAAAATTTTCACCACAAAAAACCTAGCACCTTGGAAATTTTTGTAGAATGGAAAGAACTGATATGTTATCCTCCGAATTGCTCCAAAACTTTGGCGATGATATCATAATAGCCGACTCCCTTGAAGAAGAGCCAGATATTGAAGATTGCCAGGATAAGTCGGAGGAAGACATATTTTCAACCGACAAAGAAGAGGTAAGCTCTCGACCCTATTCCGATGTCCTTCCTCCGGGCTGGGCTGGGCTGGACATAAAAAACCACTTCTCATCAATATGGACTATGTTTCTCATACTTTGAAATTTGATCATGCTACGAAACCTGTCCACAAAAATCTTACCCAACACAAAATTCAACCTTAGAAGCAGGTGTTGTTAGATCAGGTTTGATAGCATTCGTATGGCTCTTTATCAAACCTTTAGAAACTAACCTCCCCTCATTACTCTTTGACAACCCTATTTGTTTGGCAAGTGATCTTATTGTGGTTCTTAAGTGCATGGGGACATTGAGAATGACTACAGTGTCAACCTGAATAGCTCGGCCAGTCTTTCCCATTTTTTTGGAGCGGACGTTCAAGAGACTACCCTCCTGCATCTGCCTTCTTGATGTATTCCAGATTCTGGAGATGGTTCTCCTGCTAACATTCCATTTAAGAGCTGCTTCTGAAATTTTCCCAGTCCGAAGAATCTGTTTGTTAGAATGTGAAAGAACGGAATGCTCAAGAAGGAACTGTGCTATCTCTTCTCTCTCCAGATTTGTTAAATTTTTGGTTCTCATTTTGTGTTTTGTGATAGAACTGAAATGGCATGGAGTATATGTAGTGGACTGGTCAGTAGTTGTTGAGGCTTGTGAAAATTTAAAGAGGAGGGAAGTCTGCGTATTAAGAATTGTAAAAATTGAAAGTGGAGGGAAATGTGAAATGTTGAAATTTTCATGTGTCGGTGTCTTTTGCATACGTTACTTGAGTTTGTAATCTCTTTCCTGATAATGAGATGTCATGTCACCCAATTTGCTCCCCCACTTATCTGACGAGACTCCATAAGTTACCCCATTTATTTACTTTGACATAACATGTTTACATTTAATTAATTTTTCTCTTACCTCTTTTTTTATCCCAAATTACTTTATTTAACAACTTACCTAAATAATCATGCCATTTTGGCACGGGAACCTCCTATTAGGACGGAAGGAGTATATGTTTAGCATGATCATTTTTAAGAGTTTTTCAAAAATAAAAGATATTTTTTGAGATGCTACATGGAGTAGCATCTGAGAAAAGGCTGTGACTTATAATATTAATCAGTCTTAACAGGTTGCATACCAAACATAAATAAATCAAACAAGGAGTGTTTTACCAAATATCCTTTTAAGATGTTTTGTGCATAAGATACCCTAAGGTTAGATGAGAATCTAGAGGGTAGATTGAGAGATTATTTAGGTGGAATCAGAAATGACTGCGAGGGACAGTTGATGATTTGGTCTGCTAGGTACCCACCCACCCGTTTCATTTTTATTTGGTGACAACTCCGGTAGCTTTCTAAAAAATGGGTACCGTACCTACCATTCATTTGATTGGACCATACCACTTTATTATTTTTAATTTAGATTTAAATAATTCAACCTTTTTATTTATTTATACTCTCGATTCCCTAGGAAGTGGCTGCTACGGGGTGGGTGATTGGCTGGAGTCTGTGATGTATATATATAAGCTACCCTGAAGCCATAACAAAAATATACATTCTCAAGCTAACTCTAGTTGAATTAAATTCTTCAATTCTTTATCGATTTTTAGCAAGGTCAGGCTCTATCCATTTATTCATACATAAATATTTTGAATTTTATGGATCATTTAATTTTCTGTCAAATTACTGATGTGCATGGGGGTAGTTTTTTATAGTACTAGTATTTATTTATCTGAACCAGCAGCTAGCGCTAGACTAGAGATTCAGATATGAGTTTGTTTTTTACTAGAATAAAGGACGATCTATATATAGTTCCGAATACTCAAGCATATACGAAGGGTGTGTGTGTGTGTGTATATATATATATATATATATATATACTACCTCCGTCCTTTAAAACTTTGCAGAGGAGAAAGAAATAATAGAAATCACAAAATAATTGATTAAAAGGAAAAGTGACAAAGCTTTTTGGGACGTCCTTAAAGGAAAGATAGACAAAGTTTTAAGGGAGGGAGGGAGTATAAGGTAGGCCGGGCATCCGACCCCAAAAGTCCTCACATGCACCCAACTGGCCGGCTAGCTTAGCCGGGTGGCAGGCTATATACTACTCCGTATGTATAAGAGATTTGATTAAGTAGCTTAGTGTAAGCTAAGAATGAAAGGCAGGCGGGGCGGGGGCGAGTGATCGAAATGAATTCAATATAATTAATTAGATTTTGGATGGTGCAGTGCAGTGCAGTACTTAAAGATGAACAGAGCAGGAGACTGGAATTGCCGGTCATGCCAGCACCTGAATTTCCAGAGGCGGGAGTCGTGCCAAAGGTGTGGAGAGCTAAGAAGCGGCGGCGGCGGCGGCGGGCTTGTAGGGCCGGATGTGCGGCCGGGGGACTGGTATTGCACCCTCCCCCAATGCGCTGCGCATAACTTTGCCAGCCGTTCCAGCTGCTTCAAGTGCGGCGCCTCTAAGCTGCTGCAGGCCGACAACAACATGTTGCGCTTCTCCCGAGCTGGCAACCACCGCTCATCCTGGAAGTCCGGTGACTGGATCTGCACTCGGCCCGGTTGCAACGAGCACAACTTTGCCAATCGCCAAGAATGTTTCCGCTGCAATGCTCCCCGGGACTCTACCGCCTGCAATTCTTTCTGATCCTCTGCATGCTTCTCCCTTAGCTTTTTGGAATTAATTGGGTACAGGTTTAATTACGTACGTACAGGTTTCATATTTTAGCTAAGAGAGAATCAACGAAGACGATCCAGACAAGGCCCACAACTCACGCTAGCTAGCTTTTTGGTGGCCGGCCACTGTCACCAATCAACTATGCCTTCCCCTTTAATTTGCTGTATTTTGGTTTTCATTTTCTAGCATGCATTCACCCGGCCAGCCCTTCCATCATTTTGTATTTTTGTTACCTCTAATCTCTACCCGTCTTTAATAACACATTATATTTATGTATGCCCATCTTTATATTTCTCATTTCATCCATTGCGGAAAAACTTCTTAAATAGGAATAATACATATATAAATAAAGTCTTTTCAAATAGAACCATGCACCATTATTTTGCTTCTTAAAATGTGACACATTCACTCCCAATTAACATATTTTTATATTCTTAATAGCACAAGAGTCATATTTGTGGCGCTTTGTTGAATTAATGTGTGATATATTCCTATTTAGAGCAATTTCTTTCTCCACTAAAATTTTGGAAAAAGATTCAATTATACGCTTCCACTATTTCAAATTTACCACTTAAATCCACATACTTACATTAAAGTATCATATAGGCACGCTAATTTTGAAAAACCGTAGGAAACCTAGCTTGAGACATCTCCACCTGCAAAAAAACTTAATTTGAGGATACTTGGTGGATTTTCTATTGGACATCCTAAAAAAATTGAAGGAGTATCATTTTTATTGTCTTAGTCACCGTACAAGAATTATAGAGACGGGCAATGCCTGGTTCATAGAAAATGGTGAAGTAGTTAGTGAGAGTGGTGAACCACAAAATATGGTCATTCAAGAACAAAGAGATAATACGTACCATGTTCAATTCCCTGATAAGAAAAATATAATAACATGTTTCCACATGTTGGAAGCATCAATAGTAGCTCGAACACCAACAAACAATTTGAATACATGACTAGTGATCTGATACAATCATTGGTAATCACAATGAAGGGGTAGTTGGTGAACAGATTATATGTGAGCATGTTGAGACCTCTTCAAATGAACTTGTCATCACTCAAGAAGAAAATAATGATTTGTCAAAGGGGATGACTGTAATATCCGAGATTAGCTTAAAAGGATTAATAATACTGCTCATACGAACAAGTTGCACCTTCTTTAAGGGGAGCTCATATGCTAAGAACGACAAGTTATGCGTATTTGCACGAGAGTATTCTTAGGATGGGTGAGCCCTTCAGAAGTTTATCGGGACGCGAACGAGTGAGGATAAAGTGTGCAGTAAAGTCTCGTGTTGGTGAGTACAATATGAGTTGGAGTGTTACAATGACGTTAATGAGGTCATCTAAGCAAAAGTCATTAATGTGACTTGAGCATTGGTGAGAATCTAGTAAATGAATTGGTGCCATGAATGAAGAGATGAAGTCTATGCATGACAATATACAAAGTCTAGGATTTAATTATGTTGCCTCATGGATCCAATAAAGTTGGATGTAATTGGATCTTTAAGGCAAAACTTGACTCTAATTGAAAAATCGAAAGGTATAAGGTTAGGCTTTTTGCTAAAAGATTTATTCAGAAATGTGGCATTCTCTACTAGGAGACCGTCTCTCTAGTTTCAAACAAGGGCTCCTTAAAGGTTGTTATAGCTTTGGTGGCTCATTTTGAATAGAGACTTAGAGGAAGAAGGTTATATGGATCAACCAGAAGATTTTTTACCACCAGTAAGAAAAATGGTGTGCGTAAGTTACAGAAGTTAATATATGGACTAATACAAAATTACCGACAATGGCATCTTAAACTTCATAAGACCATTTCTTTTTATGATTTTATAGAAAACGTTGTTGACCGGTGCATCTACATGAAGGTTAGTGGCAGCGGGTTTGTAATTTTGCTCCTATATATTGATGATATATTGTTTAATGTGAATGATATGCCATGATGCATGATGTTACGAAGTTTCTTTCTAAGAACTTTGAAAGATATTGGTGCATGAGACATCTTATGCGAATGGAATAAAAATATTTCAAAATCATTCACGAGTAATTTTAGGTATGTCTCAGAAAAACTACATCAATCGGGTCTTTGAAAGACATAATATGGACATATGCTCTTCAGGTATGATTCAATTCAGAAGGGGACAAGTTTAGTTTATTATAATGTTCTAAACATGAATTGGATCATAAGGAGATGGAAAGAATTCTTTATGCGTTTTGATATTAGTTTTGTTGTTGGAAAGCAGGGTCAATATCAAAGTAACCTCAGAATGGACGAGTGGAAAGCTGCAAAGAAAGATTTAAGGTACTTGGAAGACAACAAAGATCACATGCTTACATTTGAGAGATTTGATCATTTGGAGTAAATGACGGTTAACATTTACAGTGTTTTATTGATTTAATAAAAAGAATACAAAAAAGGGGAAACTAGACCAAGACCCCTCCATAGGAGGCATACCTCCTAAAATACAAGCAAGGACAAAAATATTATAAGCGATTAGAACATATCCAAAAACCAAAAATACATCAAATAAGCATAAATAAAATATTAAAATCTAATCGACGGAAGACCGAAGAAGTCCATCCAATAAGCCCGTTTGGCTAGAGTTGGATGTTCGTTTGGGTTGTTAAAAATCTGGATCTGATCCACTTGGGCCACTTCAAGGTAATGAGCAACCCTGTTGTCTTCCCTTAGTGTATGATTGAAAATAATATGTTTCCTAAATGCTACCTGTGTGAATTCCATGAATAAGGTCCTTTGATCTTCTCGCATCTCTTCCTGCTAAATAATCCAAGACAAGCAAGGAGTCGGATTCCACCATTACCTCATCATAACCTTTTCCAATCACTCACCGCGTAGCAAAAGCAATCGCTCGATCTCAACTCTGCACCCAACGCTGAAGAAGCTTGAATAGGGAAGCTTATAGCCGATATCATCTCGCCTTTAGAGTATCTCAGAACCACACCTCCTGTCGCTTTACCAAATAAGAAGCTAGCATCTACATTTAATTTCCATTTTTGAATCAGTTTCCTCCATCTAACAATTTGAACCCCCGATTTTTGAAGTTTGAATCCTTTAGGAATCAAATGTTCCTCAAACAAAATATCTTTTATAGATCTTAATCTTAAGCGAGATAAACTGTAAACCCAGTTATGTGTAAAGAGTTTAATTTGTAGAATGATAAATTCCGGGTTATGATTAGCATCACCTGACCCTAAATCAAATTGGAGTAGGTTTTCCAACTGTGCTAAAGTATGTTTCCACAAGTATTATGTTGAAAAACCACTAACAAGCTTTTTGTTTGCACTTTGGGCCTCCAAGACCTGAAATAAATATAGTCCTTACCTGTCGAGATATAAATGCCCAAAATCCCCAAAAAGTACTGTCAGACTCATTTGGAAACAGAGCAATGAAAGAACAAATGATTGAGTGAGTCACTTTGATGAGCTTCCATCAGAACATTTTTATCTTCGGTTCTTGTCATCTTGATTACTATCCCAAATTTGTTCATATATTAGTGCACTTTAAGATAGCTCCCTAACTTCTTCAAAAGCTGATCTGAAAGAAAATTGACCATTATCCTCTTCATTCCAAGTTACACATCCTTCATCATCAGTTGAGACCAGGCTCGAAGCAAGCTCATTAGCTGAACAAATCCTTCTCCAAATCACAGAGTCAGTCACCTTAGGTAACATATTCTCACTCCCAGCATACTTAGCTTTGACAAATTTAGCCCAAAAAGAATCCCTAGTTTTCCACTTCCATCATAACTTGATGGTGAAGGCCTTTTCAATATATGTAAGATACTTGATCCCCATACCTCCCTCCAAAGTTGGAAAACAAAGTTTGGCCCACCTTAACCAATGATATATCTTCTTGGCAACTGTAGATCCCTAGAATAAAGAAGTCATCTTTTAATTAAGAGTCCTAATAACTCTTGGGAAGAACATCCACAAGAAGAATGTGTAGAGGAATATCATTCAAAACATGTTTAATAGGTATTAACCTCCCACCTTGAGATAGGTTTGTTTTGCTTCCCTGGAGAGATTTTGTTTTCAAAATGATTGATTAGATCCCCACAATACTAGAAAATGTTGATTCCTTTATATAAATCGACCCCCAGGTATTTAATAGGTAGTGTGGCCAGCTGCATCCCTGGGAGACTTTTTATCTTAGACATTCTAGCAACTGAAGTCTTACCACACAAAATTGAGATTTTTCCAAAATTGACGTCATGCCCTGAAGCCTTCTCATAAGAGTTGAAAAACCTTTTGAAATTTGAAATTGATCAGGCCTCACAATTTAAGAATAACAATAAGTCATCTGCAAACCCCAAGTGGGATATAGAAGAACATGACTAACCCATCCAGAATGTTTTCATACTACCGGCCTCAATCAAACTATTAAGATCCTCGAGAAAGCTTCAGAGGCAATAATAAACAAAAAAGGAGACAATGGGTCTCCCTGCTTGATCCGTCTTGAGGGCTTAAAAACCCATGTGGTGACCCATTGTCTAACACAGATAAATAGGTAGCCTGAAGATGATTCGTAATCAAATGAACAAATTGAGCAGAAAAAACAAATTGCAATAGAATAGCCGAGAGGAATTGCCATGACACCTTGTCAAAGGCTTTATGATTGCATTGATTTTTGTGTGTTTATTTTTTTTTACGTTTAATTAGTTTTTACGGTGTGTTGTTGTGGTAATTGCACATTTACGGTGCAATCATTTTATCTTTCTAGTTTGTTGTAATTTAGTAAATTTAGAATCATCCTGAGCAAGAATCAATCAAGGATCAACCAAAGATCATGGAAGGGATCTTACAAAATCAAAGGAAGGTGCAAGGGAGCAAGAAATCATGCAAAAAATGTGATTTGGTGCCATACCCGGTCGAGTAATTTTGATACCCGGTCGGGTATGACTTGACCCGAAAATTTACAAGATCAAATAAAGCAAGAGAACGTGGGAAAATCAGATTTGGTCATATACCCGGTCGGCTATGTTGACATACCCGGTCGGGTGTGACTAGATTTCAGCACTTTCGTGCTACTGCCATAGATACCCGGTTGGTTATTGATAAACCCAAAACTTACCAATCGAACAATCATAACAAGTATAAAGAAACAGATAGAAAGATATCAAGATAAACAACACCTTTGGTATACCGTGTAAACTGGCCGCTGCTCTCCCTGGAGAAGGAGAGCAGCGGCAAACCCTAATATCTCAATCTCTGCGCCTCTATTCTCTAAAGCCTCGAACGTTAGGGTTCCCGTAAGTTAGCCTCCTTTTATAGGAGAAGTTGGCTAACTTACGGGTTACAAGGAAGCCCCCGGGCTGATACACATTTGTGGCCCATATTACACGTTTAATTAATAACTACACAAATACAAAGATATTTAATTAGATTGGACACCATAAAATATTCCTAACAATCTCTCCTTTGGTGTTCAATCGTGTTGAATCAGCATTGCAGCGCAGATATCTTTGTCTTTGTTGTTATTCAGCTTCCTTTGTCTTTGAACTTGACTTCTTGAGAAGGCTTTATGAAGAAATCCTCGCAATCTCCCCTTTGATGTTTTCTTGGCAGTTTGATCTTTGATGTCGGGGTTTGAGGAATCTTTTTCTTGTAATCCTTGCCTTCCAGAAGTTGCTCTTGATCAGCTTGGATGAAGTCCGGTGACGCCTCGAGAATGAATGTTCTTTGAAGAATAGGGGGCGCACACGGGATTCATCTTTAGTACATGAGTATTTGACCTCTGTCTCCTCCACAATGTAGTCTTTTTGACTATTTGGAATGAATGCATTTGAGGAGAACTTGTCAGTGGCACAGCGGAACATAATGATGGTTGACTTATGAGCGTAGCTGACCATTTGAGTTACAGAGATAGTAGAGAGAGTGTTGGAGGAGAGACGTGTCCCAGAATGATTTTTTTTGACAGTTAACAGCATGTGGACCACTCTCCCCCTCATGATGATCCGATGACTCGGGGCATCATGCCTTTATTCTTTTATTCTACGGAAATAAAACAGGAAAAACAAGCAGAATGTAAAGAAGATAACGTAGCCCCCCGGGGTCGTGAAGACGCCCGTTATCATCACTATAGAGATAAACTCTGAAGCGATGGCCTGAAAATGTTGGTGATTCTTATGTTGCAACAGCAGGACTTCCTTCCAATCATTGGTCTACATCTGTAATAGATGAGCCCTATGGAAGTTCTCGCGGGTCATGTAGACCTGCAAGTGACTCAAAAAGTGCGTCTGTGTCCTAGAAATTTCAAAACATTTGGGAGTGAGGTAACTAGACACGACGTGATCAATGAAAGTTCAGTGGCATGGGGCCGAGGCCACTGTAGTCACTATTACTTGCCTCGGAAGGAGACAATAATGAGAGATGCGGTTCCCCGTGAAATATGATTAAGCACCTGTCTGTTGGGAGACAAGTGAGTGGTCTTAGGAAGGGTGAAACATGCACTGTTGGACAAGATGCAGTGACTTCTACTCGGGATCTGATTAAATCAGTCCTGAACCTATTTGGGAATTGTACAGAGTATTTGAGTGGCTAGGAGTAAATGTTCAATACATAGCAGGCAGTTGAGGTAGCAGACTCATCATTGATTATTGTTTTCCTTCTCACTTGAGCCTTCTGCTTCCTAACTCTCATAATGATTTCTCACTCACTCACTCACTCACTCACTCACTTACTCTCGGCTTTGTCCCTTGGGTAGGCTTAGTTGGGTTTACTAAGCCATAGGAACATGTTCTCTCATTGATTTTCTCTCTGTACTCCCCCTCAACTGGAGCACTCGGCATGCTTTGTCATTGTTAGGCACCGGGGAGGATAACATTGAACACTCCCCCTAGAATGTTGCATCCGTTGAGAGATTCCTTGCTTTGTCGGTGTAAGGCGCCAGGAGGAGAAAACTGAAACTCCCCCTCAAAATGTGCAAGGTTTGATTGCTCACAACTCGTCATACCCGCCATGTGTGTGGAGCAATCTGAACAAGTACCACACATGACGGTTTCCCTAAGCTCATCATTTGGAAATTCAGCATGTTTGAGGATTATACAATGTTGATGAGTTAGGGGAGGCTTCAGTAGTTGATTGTTGATTGCTGTAAGATGACCGTTGACGCGAGGTTGATTGAATTATCTATGATTTTCGGACCTCTACAGTGCACCTTAGACCATAGGGTTGACTTTGAAAGAATTTGAACAGATTTGCCTAAGTTTTGACCTGGACATCGGTGATTTACAATGTTTGTCGGAAAACTAACGTTTGGACCCTCAAGGGCTGCGAGTGAGGGTGCGTGAGAAAGGGTTCTGGGGCGTAGCTTGAGAATTAATGTAGATCTTTTCGTTATCTTTCCAACAAAAAAAAGTTTGCTCAAATCGGATCACCGAGTCAAAAGTTATGGCCAAAACAGTGCGGTGTCGCAGAAAATCTCTAATTTTGAGTTTTACAGGAAAGTCTTCGAGGTTGAGGTTCTCGATGTTGAATTTCGAGAGCAGGCGAAATTAAACAGAATTCTAAGGCAAAAACTCGAAATCCTAATCTCGAGATTTTAATTTCGAGTTTGCCTCGAAGAGTAATGGCGAAATCCACCTGCAAAACAAACCTCAGAATTACGAAATCTTCAGAATTTCAAAATGTTTGGAACATCTAAAACTTTGGAATTTCGAAAACCTCGTAATATCGAAAACAAAATAGCAATGTAAACACTGATAAATCGGGGTGTCATGCCTTTATTGATTCTTTTATTCTAGGAAACAAAACAGAAAAACAAATAGAAAGTTAAAATGATAAAACCGGATACACTGAGGTGTTCCGTTATCACAACATCAATGTAAACACTGACGTGTGGTTTGTATAAAATGATAGAAACATTAAAGCTTTAACAGGACGTCCAAACAATCATTATGAAGCATCTAAAGTAGATGTCACTCAGATTGTTGTGGCATGATCATAAAGATCAGCATTGAGAAACTTGTAGCCCCATCGAGGTCATGTAGACACACGTTATCATCACCATAGAGATAAAGTCTAAAGCAATGGCCTTAAAATGTTGGTGATTCTTATGTTGCAACAGCAGGACATCCTTCCAATCATTGGTCTACATCTTTATTAGATGAGCCCTATGGAAGTTCTCGCGGGTCACGAAGACCTGCAACTGACTCTAAAAGCGTGTCTGTGTCCTAGAAAATTCAAAACATTTGGGGATGAGGTGACTAGACACGACGTGATCAATGAAAGTTCAGTGGCATGGGGCTGAGGCCAGTGTAGTCAATATCACTTGCCTCAGAATGAGACAGTAATGAGAGATAAGATTCCCCGTGAAATATGATTAAACACATGTCTGTTGGGAGACAAGTGAGTGGTCTTGGGTAGGGTTAAGTATGCACTGTTGGACAAGATGCAGTGACTTCTACCCGGGATCTGAATTAATTCAGTCTTGAACCTATGGGGATTGTCCAGAGTATTTGAGTGTCTAGGAGTAAATGTTCAATTGATAGCAGGCAGTTGAGGTTGCAGACTTATCATTGATTATTGTTTTCTTGCTCACTTGAGCCTTCTGCTTCCTAACGCTCATAATGTTCACTCACTCACTCACTCAGTTACTCTCGGCTATGTCCCTTTGGTAGGCTTAGTTGGGTTTACTAAGTCATTGTGACTTATCTCTCATTTATTTTTGTTTCTCTTTGTACTCCCCCTCAACTTGAGCACTCCATATGCTTTGTCATTGTTAGGCATCGGGGAGGAGAACATTGAAAACTCCCCATAAAATTTGATGGTCCCGGATAGAGGTAAAAGTCTAGAGGGGGGGTGAATAGACTTTTAAAGCCTTTTCAACTTTAAAAACTTTTCCCTTCTAGATGAGTTGACCTATAATCTTTTGGGAGATTTATAGATGCACAGCGGAAGTCTTTAACCTCTATATAATCAGTGTGTGACAACTTTCTAGCTTGGGTGAAGTTTGAACTTATACAGTGAGCAATTGGCTTGGCAGTTGGCTGGATGGCAGGGAACTGTGAAGGCAACTGCTGAGGAAATATTTAGTGTATAATGACAGTGCGGATAGAATGTTGCTTAGAATGATAAGAGCTTTCTGAAAATGTGCTGAGATGATTATAAGTGAGAGTTTTACATGAGCAGTGGTCTCGGCAGTTAGGTGGTCACCAGGGAACTGCTGAGGCACCTGCTGAGTTACATGCTAACTTTCAGGGATCAGTTTGAACAAACTTCTTGGTAATGATGTTATGAAGGTCTTGTGATATTGAGATGTTCAAAAGAAATAAATGTGTACGAGCAGTGGGCTTAGCAGTTGGGTGATCACAAGGGAACTACTGAGGCAACTGCTAAACTTAGGATATGTATTCCCAAGTTATAATAGAACAGACTTTTAGCAGTGATGTTAAAAGTTGTCTCAAAGAAAGTAAGTAATTAAGCAGTAGGATAAGCAGTAAGATCGATTAACACTACTGCTTAGGATACTGCTGGCAAACTACAATTCTTTTGCGAGAAGTGTTGAGTGTGTGCTTTGTTGAATGAAAGTAAATGAACACACAGTATATCCTGGTTCAGAGGTGGTGTAATCCTCCTATGTCCAGTCCCACCCTCTTTCAGATGGATTGTCACTAAAGTATTAAGCCCAATACACTTAGTGCCAATCTAGCCTTTACAACACTTAGGCCTAGATTGAAGGTGTTTCACAAGGAGTACAACACCACTCCAAGTTACTCAATCCTTAAAATTTTCTCAATTGATCCAGTAGGGATCAAAAGGTACTCTATCTATCTATCCACACTTAGGTCTTAATAACACAATCCTTCTAAGTGTATACAACAATGTTTTGTGATTTGTTACAAGAAAGTTCTAACCTCCAACTAGGAACTAAACTTCTAGAATTTATCAATAATAACTTGTGACTTGGAAGTTTAGTGAAACATGAGTCCAAGCAGAGAGTGAAGTTAAGTTCGCACTTTCTCTTTTGCTAGATAGCTCGTATATGATCAATGGGAGTTTTTCTCTATTTTGGATGCTCAAAGCTTGGTTAGAAACTCTCGTTTCAGCCTGTATTTATAGGATTTTCTGGCTGCTCAATCTTATCCGTTGGTTAAGATAAATTGATCTTGGACGTTGAAGTGTTCTTTTGTCTTCATGCACTGGAGCAGATTTGGAGATCTCTTTGTCTTCAATAATTCAGCCGCTGAATAATCTCTTCAAAGGATCATTCAGATGATTTTATCTTGTGTGTCACATGCTTAGGTCCCATATACAATTTTAGCATTAAATGCTTGTCAAATTTTGTCTTCAACCATACACAATCAATGTATATGATTTTCGAACCTATATGACTTTCTTTTTGTGACAGTTAATTTTTGTGTGCAAATAAAATTATATTGGTAGGATTTAAATATCCTTTTATGGTAAATAAAAAATTACCTTATTGCATTTTTAACTTTCCAGTGTAATTTTATTAGTCTCAAAAATTGTACATTTATTTGTCACTAATGATTAATTTTGAATACTAATACGTATATAAATAAGACACAATGTACTAGTGCAAAGTATAGTGGCATCATCAAAATCTATCAAACTTGGGTACTAACAATTTCCCCGTTTTTGATGATCCCAAAACTATACAACACAAGAAAGAAATATTTTTATTGATTTTCATTGAGATTATTGTACATTAGTCTAAAATCTAAAGTATAATAGTTTTTAGTCACTTTCGGACTTTTGTTCTAGTCTACTCTTGTTGGCTTCCTCTAGTTTCTTCTTGGGCTCTTCTCTTGCTTTGGCTTCTTCTGCTTTCCTTCTTCGAATTTCCATATCTTCTTGGAGTAGCTTGTTCTTTCGTCTGGTTTCAACTGCTTTCTTGGCTACTAATGACCTTGAAGATGAGGGGTCTGCTGGTGTTGTCCTTTCCCCCCTTTTGGCATCAACAGGGGTCTCGCCTTCTTTGAAGAGTGCTTCAATTTCTGGATCAGAGTCCTGTTCTTCTTCTTGATGTCTCCGTGCCAGATCCAATCCATATACCTTCATGGGCAGTGCCTTGGTGTAGTTGTGGATGTCCATGAGGTCAGTCTTTACTTCATCTTTGACTTCAAGTTCCAGATCTTGAATCTTCTTCTTTGTTGATGCTAGCTCTTGGCCCATCTTCTGAAAGTCATCTCCTTGTTTCCAAAAGGTTTCTTGAGTGGCCTTTTGGAGGACTTTGAAGTTGTTAGCGACATCTGTTGTAATTTGCCTGATAGCTTGAGCATGAGTTGCCTGCTTTTCTACAAACTTTTTGGAGAGTTGGAAGATGACAGGGAATTCTTCGGTCTTTAGCTTGTTGATGTACGCCTCATGCTCTTGAACTCTTTGAAGGGCCTGCTCAAGGTCAGGAGATAAAGATGGGAGAGAAGGTACCTGGGCAGAGGACTCTGCTGCCGGGTTGGAGGCACCTGCTTTCTCTTGGTCCCGCAGTTGCCTGATGTAGATCTGGATTTGAAGCTCCAGTTCTCTATCTTTTGCCCTTTGATCTGCCAACTCTTTGTATATGGCTTCCAGTTGATCTGGCTGCTGGGAGCGTTGGATTTTTAACTGCACCTTTTGCTCAGCATTGTAGACTTGCTGGATCATCAGGTTACTCTTGATGTGGCAGTGAACCTCTGCAAACCTCATCTCCAGAAGTTTGTCAAAATGCTTTTGCATTTTGATTAGTCTCTTGTGTAGGCGAACCTCGGCGTTGCTAATGAACTTTGTGGTTGCTCTTCGTTCTTGAATGAATACCTCCGCCAGTGAAGGGGTATCCTCTGCGCCATCGTTGAGAATCTGCTCCTTTAGTTCAGGAGATGTAGTGGGCTACTCAGGAGTTTCTTCTTCTTGATGGGGTTCCACGTTGAGGTCAAGCAGTTGAGTCACCTGCTGGAGGTTGGTAGTCAACTGTTCTTCGGCTCCTTGTGTTTCCAACCTTGATTTCTCAAGAATTCTTCTGATTTCCTTATCACTAGAAGAAGATGAGTGTATGATTTCTTTACCTCTTGAACTTGGTGGCCCTTTAATATTATTGTCAGCGTCATCATCATCATCATCGTTGGAGTCTTCTATTGATGCCTTGGCAGTGAGCTGCTTCCTCTTTGTGGCGTACACTTGGTTGATCTTTAGGAGCCTGGTTGCGTCTGCCATATCATGAGTACCAAGCCAGTCTATCACGAAATCCTCTTCATCTATGAAGTGGGCCAAGGTCTCAGCTTGATGAAGGATTCTTGATAACTTCCATGATCTCCAGGCTTTGACCCTTGTGAAGTCTGCCTCCAGTTGCTCTAGGGGCGTCAGTTTGGGTGACCCCACTGCTAGAGATTGAGGGGTCTGCTCGTTTAGGGGAGCCACCTGCTCTCGTATTTGAGTCGTCTGCTCTTCCATTTGAGCTGGCTACTCTGCTTGTTGTTGTATCCTTGGAATAAGAATTGAAAGAGGTATGGCTGAGCTGTTGCTTGTATTGGAAGAGTTGGAGGACTCTGCATCTTCATTGATGATGGTGAGAGGGGAGGCCACTGCTTCTTCATGAGCCAGTTGTAAGGATGAGGCTGCTTCTTCCATTCCTTCTATTTCTTGTTGTTGTTCTCGGCCTTTTTGCCTTAGCCGCTTGACATCCTGATCTGAGCCTCTTTGCCGTCTTGGTATCGATTTTGAAGGAGATCATGAGAGGGTCGTTGGAGAGGAAGGAATCATCTACCTTTGGGATTTCTGGAGCCCCTGCCTTGAAGGTTTGGTGGAGGAATTTTCTCCAATTTGTTGCTTCCTTGGTTGTTCCCACTATCCCCTTTTTCTTGAGGAGTTCTCCAATCAGAAATTCATAACCCACCAGGGGCAGGGTGTTGTCTTCGCTTCTTCCTTTATGGGATTTATTTACATATTTCAAGAGCTCGTTATAGACGTACCTGGACCAGTTGTGTGGGGACCCTGAGATTATAGTGGTCAGTGGCTTTGCTCTTTGTGCATTTATCTCGTTTAGTGTTGTGGTTCTTGTGTCAATGCACTTGTAGAGGATATCTAGCAGGAGAGAGTATTCGTGCACCATCATCTTCTTCTTTACTTTGAGGGTGTTGAGGTTTTGAGTTCTTGGAATGAAAACTTTCTCTTTAAAGTTTTCTTCGTTGAGGTTAAGGTCTTCTACGTCTGGGGCCTCATTTCCAGGTAGAGATAGCAGATCCCTGATTTCCTCTTCTTGAATTTCCACTTCGAACCCCAGCACCCTAGATTTCAGTGTCTCAGGAGTGGAGTTGATGTAGAACTCTGCTACAATTTCGGGGTAGAAGCAGGAATAAGGGTAGGTTGCCATTTTGATGAGGCCAGTTGTGTCGAGCTTCCTCATGAGCTCCCTCATGAGATCACTGTTTTCTGCCCTCTCAAGGATTTTAGAGGTGTTTAGAACGGAACCAGTGAAGATGGATTTTGAGATTTGGATGAGGGAGGCCATGGATTCAGGTGAGAGTTAAGTAAGGTGGTCGTGAAAGTAGGGTGATTGTTTGAGAGCTTTTGAGAGCTTTGAGAGTGTTTGAGAATTCAGAAAGAGATTAGAGAGAGATTGTAAGTGAAAAGTGTTGGTAATTGTACGGAGGGAGTATTTATAGGCTATCGGAAACTAGCCGTTGGAATATAGCCGTTGGAGAATACGGCTGGTCACTCTTGGCATTAACTGCTAGTTTCTGTGTTCATATTGGTAGCAGGGGGCTCAAACTTCGGTAATGTTTTTAATGTTTCTGAGAGCAAAATGTACCTTTTTTGAATCATTGATATGAGAGGATCATGATGATATAGGTTGAGTTCAGAGATTCCATGTATTTTGTTCAAAATTTGAGCCAACTGCTGTCCAGAGACAGTCGTCTGCTCCTGAGGCAGACACCTGCTGGTAGGCACCTGCTCGAATTTTGTGAACCAATGTTTTTACCTCCCTTCTCCTTCCTTCTTTATCTCTAGTCAGGTTTGGTTGAATTATGTGATGCAAGTTCTTGCAAGTGTCAAGAAAATGTAGCAGTGGGCTAGTTAGTTAGGCACCTGCTCAGCCTACTGCTGCTGAAATTCAGTTACCTGCTGAGCCTACTTCTTGGATTTTGATTCAATTATGTTTGAAAATCTGAGATTGGCTTTCCTGGACCTTGATGCTTCATTCCTTGTGAGTTTGAGTAGCTTTCCTTGAACAGTTGACTACTCCTCAGTACTACTTGCGAGTTCCCCCGTTGAAGAATATTTTATTGTGTATCAAGTTTGTCAAGAGTCTTGTATTGCTATAGCCTTTATTACTCCTTTATGTATTTATTGTTGTATTTATTATAGTAGTAAAGGGTATGGGGCCCAAATGTCTGGCCCATATACAAGGCGTAAAGCCTGTACGCAAACCAACCTGCGCATATAAAAAGGCGCTTAAGGGTTAGGTTTGCGTCAACTTTTGCATTCGATCTTTACAGCCTTGAGCTTATTATTCTTCCTGTAGAAGTTCACGGTATATCAAAGACGAGTTTAAGGATCTCCTGCGTATATCTTTCTGCTATTCTTATCTTTGAGTATCGTTATATTGTTGTAATCATATAAACAGGGACAAACAATTGGTATCAGAGCCGATCGAGACCGATCAGACGTTCATCGTCGAAAGACTGTTGTTTTCTTGTTTATCTATAGTTTTTCGAGTTTAGCTATTGTAATCTTGTTTTTTATCAAATACCTGTAAAAGTTATACTGTTAGATTCGCAATCTTATAACGATCAAGCAGTATACCTTAGATTCTGTTTTACGCAAAATTTCCTTTCTGCAGGAACTCGCAATTCAGGGTTTTGAACTCCTAAACTCGCAGTTGGACACTCGAGGTTAGAACTCGCATTGTATAAACTCTCAGCATCAATACTCGCAAGTCTTTACTCGAGTTTTGAAGTTGCGAGTTTCATATCTCGAGTTTTGAAAACTCGAAACTCTAAAACTCGAGATTACAATCTCGAGTTCTCTTCTCGAAATCTTAAAACTCGAGTTTAGCATTTCAACACTCAGGAACTCGAGGTTCTGCCTTAGAATTTTTTTCTGATCAAATCTCGAACGGTCAATTTATAACATCAATTGCAACAGACTCTTCAGCACTTGGTAACAACAACAATCCCCCAGTACTGAGAAATGGGGAATATCATATGTGGAAGACTCGATTTCTCAATTTTTTAGAGAATCGGGATAACTCTTCTGATCTGCTAGAATCCCTCACTCAAGGCCCTACAGTAGTGTGGATAACTATCCCGGGGAATGAGAACAATAATCCACCAATTGAACAAGTCAGACGGATTAAAACCCCCACTGAATACACAGCAAAGGACAGAGAGAGATTGAAGGATGGTCTCGCTGTCAAAACATACCTGCTACAGGCCATTCCCAATGATATCTACATTATGATTGACAGCATGCAGACTGCGAAGGAAATGTGGGATGAAGTCGCAAAGCTCCTGCAGGGAACCTCCATTGGACTAAAGACAAAAAAGGCCAGTACTCTGACGGCCTATGACTCTTTTAAAGCCTTACCTGGGGAATCAGTCATTTCAACCCACAAGAGATTCATGACTCTAATAAATGAACTCAGAAAGAACAAAATATTCAAATCCAATATGGAAATGAATATTAGATTTATGTCCAGTATGAATCCTGAATGGAGAAATCATGTGAAAGATGCAAGAACCGGCCTAGACCTGGATGAAGTGGATCTCTGTACCTTAAGAAACCATCTGAGGTCATTTGAAAGTGATGTTGCAGAACTAGAAGGACAGTATTCAACTGATCCGTTAGCTCTTGTAATGGAGGCACAACCAAAGAGGGCCGTGAAAGCCCCGAAGAAGAAAAAGAAGGTTATCTCTGAGTCAAAAGAAGAAGATAGCGATGATGAAATAGACTTTGAGCAAGAAATGGCAGAGTTGCAGAAGAAAATGACACTCTTAACCAAGAAGTGGGGGAAGAAGAACAGCTCCTCAAATAAGCTAAGAACTTCCTCTTTTAACTATAAACAGAAGACCCATGATCAAAGCAGCTCTGGTAGAGTAGTTATAGCTGATGAAACTCCCAAATGCTATCATTGTGCAAAGTCTGGACATCTTCAGAAGGACTGTTGTCTTCCCAAGAAAAAGGACGTCAACTTCTATAAACAGAAGATGATCTGGAACAAGCAAAAGATGTTGCTGGCTAAAAAGGAAGAGGAGAATGAAGCACTGCTTGCTGAAAATGATCATTGGGCTGAGGACTCATCTGATGAAGAAGAAGAGGAGAACTATGCACTGATGGCATTGTTGGAGGATGATGAAGAAGAAGAAATGGGTGATGCTGCGATCCCCGAAAGTGAGAGCTCGAACAGCACTGTAAGTACATCTGATTCTCAATGCTCTTGCTCTAATCAAAGTCAATCCTTACAAGATAAGGATGACTTAATTAATGACTTAAGGGAGAAGCTAGATAATAACTACCAAGAATTTGTTAGGTGTCTAGACCAGAAAGCCTCCTTAAGCATACAACTTGAAAATGAAAAGCAAGTTGCCAAAAAGATGACACTCGAACTTGATGAGTTAACACTCAAGGTTGCTGATCTGACTGATAAAGTGTTTCAAACTGAAATAGAGCTAAGTACAGAAAAAGTTGACAAAAATGTTCTTGACAATCAAAGAAATACTCTCTTTAGCAAAATCAAAGAACTTGAGGATTTAATTGCTACAAGAGGTCAAACAGAACAAACTATCTTCTTAAATCAAATTAGTGATGACCGGTACTATAATCCCAGATCCGGGCTTGGCATGTCTAATCCATGCTATCTAAAGAAAGTTGATTGCATTCAGCTTTATGACTTAGATCACATGATACTAGGATATGGTCAGAAAATGTATTATACCGGTGAAAAGGAAAATGCTGAAGAAGAAGAAAAGAGAAAGAACCCAAAAACTGAAATTTCTTGCAATATACTGATTTAAACGAAAAAAGTCTCACTGGCAAAGGGCAAGAATTTTCTACTAATGAATGTTTGGATCCTTATGCTGTTGTGAAGGATGTACCACACCTAGGACATCCCTTAGACCCACCTCCAAGAGTAGGTATTTCTAAAATTGGAAAGGAACCTTGTATCTTTCCAATGGCCCAAAAGCTCAAAGATCTTCAGAAAACCTTAGAAAATGAGAGAGAAAGGTTTGAATTAGAAAAGAAAGACTTTGAGAGCAACTGGGAAACGCTCTTAAATGAATTCAACCAACTGAGCATTAAGTACCACTCTAAAACAACTCCTCAATCCACTTCTAGTACAGCGCAAAAGGAAACTCCCATCTCTCCTAACCAAACTAATTTTTCAAAAGAAACGTCCACTCATCCCTCTTCTCTTTTGTCCACAGGACAAGAAATGAACAAGAGATGGAAGAAGAAGGAAGAGTGGAGGCTGAAAAGGAAAGAAATTGTTGAAGGAAAGAAGAAAAATTTTGAAGAAAAGAAGTCCAATTCTTGTTCCAGATCTCTTTTTTATTCTAAGAAAAAATGTAATTCTATTTCAGTCAAACATTCTGTCAGCAATTCAGCTTTGAGTCCTAAGCTGAAAAATTATGTGTTGTCTTTTGAACAATCTGCTTCTTATAATTCAACTTCTGCTTACGGCTATTCTGTTCCTGACCCCCATAACTATGAATGTGATTCGAATGTTGTTAAGGTGCAACCTCGGAGAGAGGTTAAACAAAGAAAAGAAAGCAAGAGTAGAACATTTGAGGGAGTTTTGTGTCTTCCAAATATAAAATATCCCCTCAAAGTTCACTCTAAGAAACATGTTAACAGACTCTCGAAAGAGAAGATTTTTAAGTCTCAACTCACCAAACAACCATTCAATCCGAGGTCTACACTTCTCCCAACACCAAGCAAAAGTGGGTCCCCAAAAATGGACTTACCAAAACTGACGATGCTAAGTGGGTCCCCAAAAACGGACCTACTAAAACTCAAACTGCAAGGTGGGTCCCCAAGAACGGACCTACTAAACCTGAAACTGCAAGGTGGGTCCCCAAGAACGGGCCTACTAAACCTGAAACTGGTAGGTGGGTCCCTAAAAACGGACTCACTAAAACTGAAACTGCAAAGTGGGTTCCCAAGGCCACACCCTCTGCAAAATCAGAACTGGCTATTACAGAGCCCACAAAAGAAAAATCTTTTGGTGAGAAAGTTGCTGACTTTGGATCACAACTAAAAGCGAAATTCAAAAAGGTGTTTGTTGTTGATAAGGAAGGACCCATTTCAAGATGGGGACCTAAATCTGCTTAACTGTTTTGCAGGGCGGTCATGTGTGGCTCTTAGATTCTGGATGCTCAACCCACATGACCGGAATCAAACACCTGTTGAGCAACTTCACCAACTGATTTGGAGGAAATGTCAGATTCGGCAATGACGCCTCATCTCCAATCCTTGGGTATGGGGACGTCATCTGTGCCAGCGTCACCATAAAGACCGTCTCTTATGTCAAAGGGCTCAAACATAACTTACTGATCATAGGACAATTTTGTGTCAGTGGGATGGAAGTGAGGTTCTTTGCCAAACAATGTCGTGTGTTGGACAGCTTTGGGAACTCCTTATTAACGTGTAACAGGACATCAAACCTGTACACGATTGATCTGAAAAGTGTACAATCCACCACTTCCATTTGTCTGTTGTCCAGAGCCTCAACAGAATAGAACAGTCTATGGCACCGACGCCTTTCCCACCTAAACTTCAAGAACATCTCCATTTTGTCCTCCAAGAAACTTGTAAAGGGGCTTCCTCTGCTAAAGTCTTCCGCTGACAATCATTGTAGTGCCTATAAACTAGGCAAGATGACAAGAAGCACCCACAAGTCAACACCTGTACCATCATCCACTCATCCGCTGCAACTTCTTCACATGGATCTGTGTGGACCTATGAGAGTCCAAAGCATCAATGGTCCCAAGTACACACTTGTTATTGTTGACAACTTCTCAAGGTACACATGGACAAAATTTCTTCGTACCAAAGACGAAACGGCAGGAATCATTATGACCTTCATCAGAACTATTCAGAACCTACTTCAGAAGAGTGTGAGGATAACCCGAACAGACAATGGCACCGAATTCAAAAATCAAGTTCTCACTGAGTTCTATGAATCTCAGGGTATCACACAATAGTTCTCTGCAGCCAAGACTCCACAACAAAATGGGGTGGTTGAGAGGAAAAATAGAACACTTGTTGAAGCAGCACGCAACATGCTGATCCAGTCTAAGCTCTCTAACTTCATGTGGGCTGAAGCCATCAATACAGCATGCTTCACACAAAACAGAACGTCCATCCATAAACGCTTCGACAAGACCCCCTATGATATCCTCTTCAACAGAACCCCAGATATCTCCTTCTTTAAAGTGTTTGGCTGCAAGTGCTTTGTCCTGAATGATAGAGACGAAAGGAGCAAACTCGATCCAAAAGCCCGGGAAGGGGTGTTTATTGGCTACTATACACAGTCAAAGGCATACAGAATCTATTTGAGAGATCGACGAACTGTCATAGATAGTGTGAATGTAACATTCTATGAAATGGCAGACTTCGCTTCTGAGCACTTCTTGGCAGACCCTTCCTCTTCTGAACCGCAACAATCCTCTGATGAAGCCATTCCACAAACTTCACCTGACTGTGTGATTCTCGATTCACTGTTCAAACAATTTTATGAGAATCCACATCCCGCAACACCAACACCTACACCACAACCTAGTCCTACCCCACTGATTCCACTTCTACCCAGTCCAGAAGACGTACCATCTACACCGTCCACCCCTCAATCTAATCCAGAAGAAGTTGAGGATCACGGGTTTGATACAACTCCAGAACCATCTCATCTACACAACACTACTGCTCAAGAGCACACCATTCCATATGAGGACTCGGATCAACCAATCATAACTCCAATTCCTATGGCTCGTGAAAGGAAATGGACGAAGGCACATCCTGTTGAACAGATAATCTGTTAGTACCCAATTTTGATAGATTTTGATGATGCCACTATACTTAGCACGTGTACATTGTGTCTCAATATCGTTCGTGTATTAGCATTCAAAATTATGTGACAAACTAAAATGTACAATTTTTTAGTCGAATTGAATATTACCGGAAAAGTTAAAATGCAATAAGGTAATTTTTATTTACCTTAATAGGATATTTAGATCCTACCGGTATATATTATTTTAGCTCAAAGGTTAACTATATGTCACATTATTAAAGAAAAGAAGCTCGGAAAATAAAATACATTGAATGTAAATGATTGAAGACAAAAATTGACAAGGCAATTAATACATGGGACCGGAGCATAGGACGCATATATTATTAGGAGAAGATTTTTCTAAAGAGATGCTTCAGCGGCTGAGATACTCAAGACAAAGAAATCATCCCAAATAAATGCTCCAGCACAAGAAGACGAATGTACAAATCGTCCTTACAAGAATTTCAACGTCAGAGATTAATTCATCGTAACCAAAGGATGAGATTAATCCAAAGGAGAAGCCTATAAATATAGGTTGAAACGAAAGTTTCTAACCAAGCTTTTGAGCATCCAAAGTAGAGAAATTCTTTCACGAGCATTCACGAGCTATCTAGCAAAAGAGAAAGTGTTATTCTAAACTTTACTCTCTGTTTGGACTCATGCTTCACTAAACTTCCAGTTTACAAGCTATTCATTGCTAAATCATAGAAGTTTAGTTCCTAGTTTGAGGTTAGAACTTTCTTGTAACATTTCACAAATTGTTATAAACACTTAGGAGAACAGTTGTTCAGATCCTAAAGTGTGAGTAGATAGATAGAGTACCTTTTGATCCTCACTGGTTCATTAGAGAAAAGTCTAAGGACTGAGTAACTTTGAGTGGTGCTATACTCATCGTGAAAAACCTTCGATCTAGGCCTAAGTGTTGTAAAGGCTAGATTGGCACTATGTGTATTGGGGTTAATACTTTAGTGAAATCCATCTGAAAGAGGGTGGGACTGGACGTAGGAGGATTACACCACCTCTGAACCAGGATATACTGTGTGTTGATTTACTTTCATTCAACAAAGCACGCACTTAGAACTTCTTACAAAAAGATTGAAGTTTGCCAGCAGAATCCTATGCAGTTGTCTTAACTGACTCAACTGCTTATCCTACTGCTTAATTACTTACTTTCTTTGAGATCATTTTCATACAAGAGAAGTGCATCAATATCACCAAAAGGCCTATTCTATCATTTACCAGAAACTCATAGCGGGTGCCTCAGCAGTCCCCTGGTGTCCACCCAACTGCTGAGTCCTCTTGCTCATATAGTTGACTGTTTTGAACTAAAGATCCAAAGCCACTTCCCCTCCCAAACACTTTCTAACAATGGACAGTCAACTAGCCAAGAATCTCCTGTTCAACTTAAACAAATTTGATGATTGGAAAATCAGGATGAAAGCACACCTCAGTGCTTTGCATGATGAAATGCTTGAAGTAATAACTGCTGGACCTATCAGAATAATGAAGGTCAGCACATCCAAAGCTGATGACCAGGAGGATATAAAAATTCCTAAACCAAAATTAGAATGGACATCTGAAGATAGGAAAAGGAATAATCTTGACAGCATTGCCAAAGATATTCTCTTTAAATCTGTTGATGAATCCATATTTCCCAGTATCAGGAAATGTGAAACTGCAAAAGCTGTATGGGATGAGCTCACAAAGATCGAAGCTGGTGATGAACAAGAAAAGGACAACAAACTAACCATAGCCCTCAAGAAATTTGAGGACTTCAAAATGTTGTCAAATGAGTCTATTCATGAGATGGAATCTAGGTTGCTAAATATTATAGCAGAGGTCTCAGACCTAGGGAAAGATCTATCCCAAAAGGAGATTTCCCTTAAAGTCTTAAGAGGCCTACTATCTAAGTGGGACATGAAAGTGACTGCTATGAGAGATAGCAGAGATCTCAGAACTTTGTCAACTGACAAACTCTTCAGTGATCTCAATGCCTATGAATTTGAAATGAAGGAGATCAAAGAAGAAAAGGAAGATGAGTCCAAGACACTAGCTCTAGTGTTTGAGCCAAGCACTTCAAAATCTGCTGAAAAATCCCTCAATAATGTCCTCACTGACGAGCAGTTTGCTATGTTTGTGAGGAAATTTAAAAGATTCATGAAGAAGGAGGGAACTGCTCCAAAGAAAGCATACAACCTGCCACCTAGAAGACAAGGGAGACCTCAAGCCAGCGAGGAAACTGTCCTGTGCTACAACTGTAGACAGCCAGGACATTACAAAGATGAATGCCCTTTGCCCTTAGCCCAAAAATATCAAGGGCAACAGGGGACTGCTCAAAAAGCTGGTTACAAAAACTTCAAAGGCAAAAGACAAGCCTTTGTAAGTGAAAAGAAAAAGGAGGAACTCCAAAGTGATGATGAAAGCAGCTTAAGTGATGAGAGCTCCTCATCAGATAGCTCAGAAGAAGCACTTCTCTGCCTAGGATCATGGCATGTGACTGAAGAGAGCAGCAGGTGGCTCAACAAGCCTTCCACCAGTGGAAGAAAAGATGATGAAAGCTGCTCCCCCAAATGCTTAATGGCCAAGGACCACTACAACGATGTTGAGGTAACATCCTCCTCCTCCTATAGCTCTAGTGATTCTGGACCAAACAATATAACATTGGAATCTTTATTACAAGATTTCCAAAAAGTCCAAAATCACCATGTTCTCTTGAATGCTGAAAATGATAGACTGAAACAAGACATTAAGGTCATTCATTCTAAATTACTAGATGCCTTAAGCAAAAATGATGTCATAGAAAAGGAGAACAAAGAGCTGAAAAACTCCAGCACAAATAGTAAAAACTTTCATCCTACTGCTGAAGTTATTCTAAATAGGAACAGAAAAGGTCTTGGTTACTCATCCCCCACTAGACTCACTCAAAACTGTACATCTACAAACCACCAATCAAACACAAGAAAGCTAATCTACCAAAAAAACCACTCCCCAAATGTTCCCACAAGAAGCAACCAACCTGCTCCCAAACCAAAATCCAAACACCTGTATAAATCAACACCCCCTCACCATCTAAACCCAAGAACCCGTTGGCAACCAATCAATAAGACCAACCACAGTCAAAATACCAAGCAGACTCCTCAAATCAATAATCCATTTCCCACTTCAAAAAGGAAAAGGATTAACAAGTACATAGCCATTCCCTTTGATTACAACACCTCAAATGGATATAGACCAATCTGCTTAGAACTCAATGGTTCTAGATGGGCATGGAAGCCTAAACTTGTACAAGGGAAGTCGCCCATTAACTTGTGGGCTACTGCTCAACATTAATTTATACAGGAAGGTGCTGGAGCAGCTGAAACACAAACATGGTACATAGATTCAGGCTGCTCCAAGCACATGACGGGCAGTAGGCGGCTCTTGTCAAACTATACAGCAAGGGAAGGACCCAAAGTAACATTTGGGAATGTGGAAAAACAAGGAGAAACCAAAGGAGCTGGAGACCTATCAATTAATGGACTTACAATCAAAAACATATCCTATGTTAAGGGTTTAAAGTTCAATCTCATAAGCACAAGCCAGCTCTGTGACAATGGCTATAATGTTACATTCTCCAAAGACATCTGCTTGATTAGAGATGTCAAAAATGACAAAATTGTGCTCACTGGTAGAAGGAAGAAGGACATGTACATTGTTGATTAGAGCTCAGCAAAGGAAGGAATCTGCTTAGTGACAAAGGCAGATTCAAATTTAAGTTGGGAATGGCACAACAAATTAAGCCATCTAAACTTCAAAACAATCAACAAACTGTCCAGAAAAGGTTTGGTGAAAGGACTCCCTGAAATCAACTTCAAAAAGGACCACCTCTGTGATGTCTGTCAAAAAGGGAAACAAACCAAGGTATCATTCAAATCAAAAGAAGTGGCATCATCAACTAGACCCTTAAGCCTACTACACCTTGACTTGTTTGGACCAGTTGAACCAACAAGCTAGCTTAAGTGGTAGAAGGTACACTCTGGTTGTAGTTGATGATTATTCTAGATACATTTGGACCATATTCTTAAAGAAGAAAAATGAAACAGAGAAGAAATTTCCTGAATTGATGAGGCTAATTCAAAATGAAAAGAGTCTCTCAATCCAGAGGATCAGGTCAGATAGAGGTACTGAATTTCTCAACTCCATCATAATTCAGTATTGTGAAGAAAATGGAATCCATCATCAAACCTCAGCAGCAAGAACACCTCAACAAAATGGTGTTGTTAAAAGAAGGAACAGTCAAGGAAGCTGGAAGGACAATTTTAGAAGCAGCTGGATTACCCAAAAGATTTTGGGCAGAAGCAATCAACACGGTTTGCTACACTCAAAATAGAAGTCTTATTCATAAGACTCACGAGAAGACACCATATGAGTTATGGAAAGAAAGGAAGCCCAATGTTAGTCATTTCCATGTGTTTGGATCCAAATGCTTTATCCTAAACAATGGAAAAGACTATCTCAAGCCAGTTGATCCCAAGTCTGATGAAGGGATCTTCCTGGGCTACTCAACAACTAGCAAGGCATTTCGAATCCTCAACAAAAGAACTCTAGTGGTAGAAGAATCAATCCATGTGGTGTTTGAAAACCACCCCACTGCTCAATTAAAAGATGAAGGTGAGTCATCCAAATCAAGGGACACTGGAAAGGCTCCAAGCTGCCCTCCAAATAATAGTGTTCAAAAGGATGGAAAGGCAGTTGACTCAAATGGCAGCCCACTGCCAGCAGTTGACTCAATTGTCAGCCCACTGCCAGCAGGTGACTCACCAAAAGACAACCTTCCAGGCACTCATGACATTCCTAACCATCCTATTCTACCAGAAGATAGTGAAGAAGAAAAAGAAGAGGAGGATGATACTCAAATTCTAACCAAAACAAAAACATCTGACATCAGATGGATGAATAAACATCCTCCTCACCAAGTGATTGGAGACATTAATACAGGG